AAAGGTTTTCTCTGGTAATCTGATTCGCAAAAACAATGGCATATTTGACATACGTAAACGTAAATCCGAACTCTTTAAATCAAAACAAATTCACTATTTCGATGTGATTGCTGATGGAACAGGCATAACATTCATGTACCAATTATTACGGTAAGGATTAAAAGAAGACGAAACAATAGATTTAAAATTCTAGCTGCTGTATTTGCCAACCAAACTGAAGAAGATATTTTATTGCGTGAAGCATTAGAATTATGGGCAAAAACACATTCAAATCATTTTCAGTTATGACATACACTCAGCCATTGGTCACCATCACAGGAGTAGAATTACAGTATAGGACATCTGAATGAACAAATGCTACCTGATCATATGCCTCGACCAAATAGTAATGTACTTATTTGCTGTTGTGAGTCACCATCAATTCTGCGTAGTGTTGCAAAAGTGAACTTCTTGATTTTGGCTGAATGTCAAATAGGGGACATACGTGAACACTTTCATAAAAAATAAATGCAATGAACATATTATTCGAGAACTCCAACTGAGATACTTTTCCGATCTGATGTCAAGAAGGGAGGAAAAAATGCTATATCTTGCAACAGTCTTTATTTTATGTGACTGACATATCCAGACTCATCATTACACGCTCCTTCCTCTAAGGAAATCCAATGGCGGGCTCTAAACAACTAAAGGTGAAGATCTGGCTTGCCTCTTGCTTTTAACACGCACTCTGGGTTAGGTACCCATGAAAAGAAATGAATATATTTTTATTTAAAGTTTCTCAGAAATCAATAAACATGATGAACTTTGTTGTAATGTATAAGCCAGATAATATATCAATTTACAATAAATATTCTGAAAAATACTTTTGTGTTTATTTTAGATGAAAAACACTTGATAGACATACTGACTAACTTTGCTTGAGTTTAAATGAAATATTTACTAGGTTATGAGTGCAGCTAGTATGAATAGAAAACCGCAAAAAACTAAAACGAATCGAGAGTATGATTAACACCCAATGATCACATGTTTTCGGGGGTAGTGAGTCAATGTTAGAGGAACTGAATAAAAAAATGAATGAATGAATTCGATTTGCTAGAAAAAAAATTCTTGCATTTTCTCACAACTTCAACAGGAATAATACAATCACGATACGTTCACAGAATCAAACAACTGTGCTATGTGCGTATTAAAATTTATTTTATGCTAAATGTATGCACAACATAGAAGAAATAAAAATTACAGTGCTATAACGAATCAGTTCAACTGAATTTAACAAGTTTCCAGCAATTTGTTTTACAGTTAAAAAAAATATTATTACTCGCAGTTTTGCGTGTCATATGTAATTGAATACCAGTATTTCATAAAAATAAGTAAATGCTTTTTTTGTTTCTGATTGAACACTATATGATCTTAATATTCCTTTCTAAGTTGGGTGAAATTGAGTATAATTGGTTGTTTTCATTGTAAATGTTTTTGTTGGCTCTAATTGCTGTAAATAATATCGTTCAATAAACATGCTATTAAATACTCTTTTCATCAGTACATTTAATATTTTTAATCCCTCTCTACGATAGATGGTTGATGTTAATGTATTCAAATAAAAACTGTTAATCATATTGAAGTACAAGACAATTGATGTTAATCTTATTAAACTGATTTGCATTGATTGACTTATTACTGTTGTTGATACAAATGAGTTTATGAGTGATGCAATTGTTAATGGTAATAAGAGAAGTATGAAAACAGATGTTTGTGCTAACATGAGACGAATCATTTGGCGATCACGTTGTCGATGTGATGTGCTATGTATTGATTGTATTTGTCGTCGTTGTTTTCGAATATTTCGTATTGTTAATAAACCAAATATAATCATTGATAATGGAGTGAAAATTGCATAAGTAACTGTAAAATATATCGCTGCGAGTTGATTA